AGGACAAAGTCACGGAAAGCTGCTTCAAGTTAGGGATTGCTACTCTTAGACAAAGAGCGATACGTACTGATATTCGTCATGTAACCGAGTCCACCTCCACCGCCATTTGGAGGAAAGTTTTGTTGTATCCCAGTCCAGGTTTTGATATAACCAGAGTATTCTGTTCCGAGGCAAGTAATCCTTTCTGCTGTAACATTTTCAATCTAGGTAGTTGTCAATAGGGAAATCAGGTAGAAGCCAGACACCGACCCTTTCATAGACTCCGGGATACTGGCCAATGGAGCTGCACGACGAGTCAGTGTGCAGAATAGCAAATTGAGAAGGAAAATACCCCATAGCGACACCCAGTCCGTCAATAAACAGGGAATCTTGAATGAGAATGTTTGTCGAGTTGGCCTGGCTGTCGTCAATTCTGAGCGCTACTAGGGAACGGTATAAATGATACCTTGAGAGATATCGAATCGTCTCCATTCACTATTGTGAAATTTCGAAACGTGATTCTTGGTATCTTTCAGCCGAGGATAGTGTAAAAGGTCGGATGTCAAACCTGTTTGAGAAAAACGTATCGACGCCATCTGTGTTGCGTGCAGGAGCCTGTCCAGTATAAGAAAGAATTGAAGGACAATTCAACAAGATTGTACTTTGCTGGATGAGGTCGAGTTGATGTAAATGCCTTCCAACAGGACGTCCTCGGCCCATTTGACGACCAAGGTCCAGAACTGCGATTGCACAAAGCGAATGTCCTTGAAGACCGAGTTCGTGGTGTTGGTTATCATGAGACTGATTGGACGTCCTGGCAAATTGGAGACGCCATTGGTAAAATCATACCTGCCAGGACAAAAGTCAAATAAAGATGACGGGAAGAGACAGATACACACCAGAGTTGACCATTACCGTCGAAAGTACCTGTTCCATGACCGTCAAAGGTTACTCGCTCGCCACCAAAAGCCCAGGCCGTCGTTTGGTTTTGGTAACCCAAGTCCAAACCGTTAGCCCTCCAATAAGTTATATTGGTACCCCACTAGCAAGAATGAACTCGAGAAACATAGATTGAATGAGTTTCGCACCAGCATGGTTCCAGTCAGATGCACTTGGACGTCATGGAGCCCAGTGGTATTCATGACGCTCTCTATATGATACAGAGGGTCGGTCAAGAGTACTGTTCCCCGAGTTCCACAAAGGTCAAAGGCTTGTAATATGGCAGGAGCATCATCTGAAGCGTCAGAGCTCGCATGCACAGTGCAAACTGAACCCTTTTGTGTCACGGTTCCAGCGAAAGCCAGTTGAGCCGACAATAAGAGAGCAATGAGGGTAATCATGGTGGTCGCGTCTGGAACCATTGTCAACTCATTCTTTTATAGAGCCCAGCAAGTCACCTGAGGAATTTTCCTCTTCATGGCGGGCCGTTGGATCAGGAGGACGCGATGAAGCGCATCGTTCAAATTCGAGAAGGTCGTCACATGTGTGACATGTCTACTCCCAAAAATGATTTGCATCAACGCGCTTCAAGTTGGCTTCTCTGGTCAGCCAGGCTAGATATTTCTATTCTTAAGCTTGCCGCTTGAGGCTTCTTGCAGTGGAACGAATCTGTTGGTGGCACCGTAACCCGTTTGTAAGCGAATCAAGCCAGAAACGTTTCGCCTCAAAATCCAATTGGACCGTGCCTCATTCATTGATTTCTATCGGTTCTGGAATCTTCTTTTATCTTGTTGTCTTCTGTTTTCGCTACCCTGGACGTTGACTAGACGAGAAACTGGGAACGTCATATCTCGACTGCGTTGAATGCCTCTCAGAGTGGACCTCGAAAGCCGGTTTGGTATGTTTTCGCTCTTGAACCTAATTTCTTCCTAATCTCATGAAGTTTCTGGGATCCAGTCCAATAATTTCACAAAAGTATGCCCTGGATGTTCTTTCTCTCAGATTCTTCAATCAGCGAATGCTGCCGGTATTCCATCGTTGAATTCAACCGTTGCGCACCAATCCCAATAGCGAACCACTGTTACTTCACGTTGAACAGATTAAGCGCTGAGCGCCAATTCACGGCCGATTCGAAACGCAAGTCGACGTCTTCGTGACCTGTTTAACCTTGTTTGCAGCTCATGCTCATATCAGTAGGACTTGTGCCCAAAAACTGATTCTCAACTTTGTCTCCAAGACGATTCATGGCATCAGCGCGCATGAATCGGCCTGGTGGGCATTCATTCTGTCAGACTATGACATGACAGTTCATGCCAAAACAGGCACTATGCAGATCTCCAGGATACTGGACTCTATGAGGGCTTCCACCTTCAACTATCGTTGGAGACCATCTGGACCTGAGACAGTTTCATGACATTGGTTCGTAGCACGTATCCTTGTTTATCATCTGGCCGATGCCGCCACTGATCCCATGGCTTTGCGAATGCTTGCTGTGCGACCGTGATTTAGTCTTCCCGTGCAACTCAAGCAGTGAGTCATGAACTTGACCTTTGTTTGCAGCGGCAAACTACCAGAGGCTCAACCGCCCCCGAGGCCAGTTTGGCGGTGACGCGTTTACCAGCCGCGATCTAAGCCTGATCTCCGATGAGATCAACTCCTCGAACCTGGTATAAGTACATTGACGCGCCTACTGTGCGATGACATTTCGGTGTTCCCCGGGAAAGTCAGTTGTTGGCGGAATCCCTGAGGATAGGGTGTGCCGATTGTGTCAAGCTCACCTAGAGACCCCAGAGCACATTTTACTGCAATGTCTCGGGGATTCATCACTGAATCAGATTCGGCTCGATTTCCTGGCAACAGTTCCTCATGGCCCTGACGCAATTGCCTTACCAGCAGGGAATAAGTTCTCGGATGGCACGGCGATGTTCTACCTAAAGAGGCTGATCTTCTCTTGGGATAAGGTGGCATCAACGGCAAATTCGTGAATGAGGTGGTCATCCGGTGGAAAGAGTACTGTGAGAGGCCCTAGTCTCTCCTAGACAGACTACATGCGTTACGATGAAAGATGTACTACCACGTAAAGACGAAACAGAAGATGATTGATTCTGAGTTGAAAAGAAAGTCAAAGGGCAGTTACTGTGATTCCTGTTCGAGGATTGCAAGAGACATCATGACCCGCAAGGCTTTAAGACTCTTCAACTTTTTAAACCTCTTCCTCTCCCTCAGTGGGCCCCCGTCCTCCTCCTCTTCCGTATTCCTAGATCGTTTTTTGTACTTTTCCGCCCTCCAATTCGGACCCATCAAGTCTTCGTATATTCTCTCCCAGTCGATATGATTATCCGATTTTCCTTCGGCGTCGATAAACGTCTTGCTGATGGGACCGTCGGGACCCCAGTGGAATGCCTCGTCTCCTTCTCTCTTGAGCGGCAATATGTGAGCCCCAGCATGATTATTGACGGCTCTAGGTTCATCGTCTGGCAATGGAGCCTCTTTCAATCGTGGATCTCCAACCGGCAGAAGGCCATCGAACTGAATCATCGCGCCCTTCGGACACATTGCAGCCGCATGGACCCAACCTTTCTCTGGATTCCAGGCCACAGGGACAGATAATGGATGGTCGTCGTCGGGGAAGACCTCTTCAGCTGGGAGAACCTGTTGTTCGAAATGCGATATTCGACAGCCCAGCAAGCTCTGGCCTCGACTGAAATATTTCGGGACAGAACGACGTAGCACTCGTGCTGGTTGAGGCTGGGGTAACATTGGTGGAAGAGCTTCATCCATAGAGACGAGAACTAAAGAAAATTAGAACGGCAGAAACGATTCCAAGATGAATAGAAAACAAACCTGCCACTTGGTCTTCTTCTTCCTCGTCTTCGGTTCGCTTCTCTAATTCACATTGTTGGCCTACAACGGCTGTGACCCAGAGCAGTAGCTCTGAAAGTCGTTTAAGGGATTGTGTTTGATCCATCGTGTTCTGTTTCGCTGAAATCTGGAGCGAGTGACGACGGCAGAAATGGGAAATGTAGCACAGCAATGTTGAATCTATTGTTTTTAAAAAGTGATTGTCTGTGGCCCATGCGCGGAGACCCAATTTGGGAACAATAGCACGACGTTGTCATTGTCGGCTAACCGGTCCTTGATGTGATGAGACAAGAGGGCCTTGGTCAAACTACATTGCTTTTCTTGTTTCGTCGACGAGATAGCTCCTCAAAGAGCAGCTTGGTAATCGAGAAATCACCGAGGCAGCGCCAGGCTTCAGCGCTCCGGCTGGCCCCTGAATTTCGCAGTCCTGCAAGACAAATCAGCAAGATTATACAGTCGCGATAAACAAATCAGCTCAACGATAAGTATGCGAGGAATCCTCGACATCATGATGTTCTTGACGGAAGTATGAAGGTCTGTGCGTCGATGAGCGTCGAAAAACAAGTTGATTCGGATATTACCGGGTCCCGCTACCTTGTGCCTCCTCCTTCCGGCATGAATTCATTTGGCTCTTCCAGCCCCGTGATATGAGCAGAACTTGCCAGAACAGCATCGTTCAATTTCAGGTCAGTTCACTGTACCAGCAGACAACGATGTCGTCAACCGAATCAGTGGCAGTCGGCAATTCTGGCCCATTCTTGCAATCGTGTCTCAGGCCCCGCAGGTCTGCGTGGACGCCATAATTCACTATTTTCCGTCAGCTTGTATTGAATTTCCCTTGGTCCCTGATACCTATCAATATCACGACAGTCTGCTGATTCTTTCGGCCAGTCGCCTGAATTTTCTCCAAAACAGCCAGCGGCTCACTGATTGCCAGCCACACGGTTTCTATCTCATCTTCTCATGCGCAGTTAGAGCATGACCTTACTGATCTCATCCTAAGGATGGAAGAGAACAAGGTGGCATCTTGACTGTTCAAGATGCGTTTCCTGCAAGCTGCTCTTTGGCAATCTAAACTCCAATATTTCAGACCTTCGTCCAGTTAACCATTACTGTAACTTCGATGCTGTTCTGGGCCTCTAATTCCTTCAGAGCTACCCATTATCCTCTTCTCTCAACCACCGTTCAGGGGGTCGCTTCACGACGCGACTTTTCCTCAAGCCTTTCTAGTGTAGTGGTTATCACATCAGCACATTTCGGCTGAAGACAGAGCGTTCGATTCCTCTGGAGGGCATGACAAGAGATATGTTTTTCTACCCATGTCGGAGACGACTGTTAGTTCAAGACAAAGCGAGTATTCTATTCTCATCGTTTACTTTCCAGGTCTATATTAATAGATCGCTGCAGAGACCTTGCAACTATTGCGTGATCTGTATGTCAAAGCAAGGTACCTGGCTCTCAATGGTTGGATATTTTTATTCTACGTTTTCCAACCATCTTCTCAATATTAATGGTAACAGCCGGTTGCAGAGATGCCTCCACTACTGTATGCGGCCTTGTCTGTCCTTGTGACATTGTCTGAACATGTAGAAATGCTGGAAAACCTTGTCAGGTACCCGTTTTTTTTTCTTTATACCTCTCAAAGCATGCTCACACACCTCAGCTCAACCTCTGGTGCTTGAAACTTTGAAGTTTGACAGGTTTTAACTTGTTTTCAACTCATTTGACACGACAACATGGTACTGACATGGCCACATCAGATGGTCCCGTTTACATACTTCGATTCATTTTTGGAAGCGATCCGAGTCGCCGACGCACGTTCATAAGCGATTGAAGCCGATCTCACTCCGTCTCATTTTCGGTTTCCCAATGTACCCCGTCTTACCTTCCCTCGTCTCCTTGCTTTTCCTTTCTTCGGCAAGCAATGCAGCCATTGCGCCCCAGAAGCTCTTGTCGAGGACGACCTCTGCTTCTTCGGCTGCCGTTTCAGTTACGCTGAACGGAAAGACCTACGTGAACAAAGGCTTGGTCGGATTCGGCCTTATCCCTTCCAACTTCAGAGAATCTACCGGCGACACCCTTGGCGGAATCGGAAGCGCTATTGCAATCAAATCCGGGACTTGGAGTACAACCACCACCGGAACGTTTCAAGGGACTTTGGTCGTACATCCGGACCGAGGCTTCAATGTGTAAATTGCTTTCACATCCCGCTTTGTTCTATATTTGACATTCTCCTAACAGCGACGGCGCCATTGACTATCAGTCTCGACGACACGAGATCAACTTTGTCCTGACACCTTACACTGGCTCGGCCAATCTCAATTTCACTGCTGCTCAGCAAACTCTGACCTTGAACTACATCGATACCACTCTCGAATTCGAAAGAAATGCTACCAAGACAAGTGGTCTTGATCCGATAGCTGTTCGTCCAGCTCAAGCTGGGGCGACGACGAATCCTCTATCAGATCCAGCGATGCCGATAGCCAGTAATGCTGAGCCACATTTGACCATCGATGCCGAGGGAATCATATCCAATGCAGACGGAAGGTAAGAATTCTCGATAACAAGATTGTTTAATACTGAATGAGCCATAGTTTCTGGGTCAGCGATGAATATGGTCCATATATCTACCGATTTGCAGCAAATGGCAGTTTGATTCAGACCATTCAACCTCCGGCGGCAATCCTCCCCCATGATGATAATGGCGCTCTCAACTTCAGCGCATTAAATGATCCCACCACCGGTCGAGCTGCGAATTCAGGTCAGTTTCCTCGCCTATGGGATTCAAGTTAACTAATCTGGATATATAGGCTTCGAGGGTCTTACCATTGACGACAACGGTGTTCTCTATGCAATGCTCCAAACTGCAACCATTCAGGATGGTGGTGATGACAAAGGGACAAGTCGTTACACAAGGCTTGTTGCTTATAATATCTCGAACCCCGATGTTGTCCATCCCAGCTTGATTGGAGAATGGGTTGTTCCACTTCCTCTGAATTCCAAATCAAACACCCTGGGCTGCAGCGAGATTCATTTCGTTTCTGGTGGCGTCTTTCTGGCCCTCTCTCGCGACGGTCACGCTAGAGGCGACGACGATGAAGAAAACGAATCCAGTTACAAGTAAGTTTGTACCTTGTTATGTAACAGCAGCTGACGTTCAGCAGGCAAGCCGACCTCTTCGATATCACTGGTGCGACCGACATTCATGGCACGACGTTTGACGATCCAGCGAACGCTATTGCGAAAAAGGACAAGCTAAACAAGAATATCACGCCTGCGACCTATGTTTCGTTTGTCAACTATCTCGATGACACCCAGCTCGCCAGGTTCGGCTTGCATAATGGTAGATAGCTCTCTAGATCTGTTTTCCAGCTGACTTGAGCCAATCCAGGTGACCCCAACGGTATGTTGGTCCACATTCTGTCTTTCTCGACTAACTTCTATCAGATGAGACCCTCATCGACGCGAAATGGGAATCGCTTGCCCTAGCCCCCGTGGGGGATCCTCTCTTCCCCAATGATTTCTTCCTCTTCACTGCGGTATGGACTGTTTTACCTTTTCCGACTACAAGACTCATTTTGTCCGTTAGTCCGATAATGATTTCATCAGCGAAGATGGGGTTTCTTTGGGTGTGCCCTTCAATGCGGGCTTGAATGTTGACAATCAGTTTTTGGTATTCCAGGTTACATTGCCTGGCCTTACTCAGGCTGCTATCAAGGCTCGACTTGGAGTATAAACCAATTTCTGAAAATTGACGTTTTGGGATTGTTCTCGGCCCGAGCATCCGGTCTATTAATAAGTTGCCTCCGGATCAAGATGCCGACGATCAATCTCGATCGAGAGCGGCCGAAGGCACCGAAACCTACTGAAACTCGTTCAACGACTTGTTCGACGATGCTCTCTTTTGCTGTCTCTGTCTGTGCATTTATGCCGCCGTCTAGCGGCCAAAAACGTGTCGACATTTTGCGTTCTTCCTCGTTAGCGGAACTTTGCATTTGCCGAAAAGTACAGATACACAACCGGGTTCCTTTTATTCCGAAAACACGCTTTTGCACACATATAAAGGGTCAGTTGTGTTATCTAATTCAGCTCGAGTCATTCTGCCTCTTGCGATGCAATGGAAAAAATCCCAGATGTCTACGACCGCTTCTCAGCTTCAAGAAAGCGCATAATCGTCTTTGTCGTCGCTTTTGCTGCTTTGTTGGCCCGTATGTCTCTTTTCTCTTGCCTCTCACGGTTAAATTGACCCAATTGCTGCAGCTTTCGCGTCTTCTTCGTTTCTTCCGTCTATTCCACAGATAGCGCATGACTTGAACACCACTGATGACATTATTGCCTATTCAGTCGCTGTCTACCTCGTCGTAATTGCAATCAGCCCTTTGGGGTGGTCTTCATGTGCGACATTTTATGGACGACGACCAGTGTATCTATTATCCATACCCATTTTCGTCGGTGCTTCGATAGGTGTCGCAGAATCGCGAACCTTGACGCAACTCATGATAACTCGAATCTTGCAGGTAAGTTTGTCGACCTTTGAGATGATCATTCTCATCTGGACTAGGGCATCGGCTCCAGCAGTGTGCTTTCGGTTGGAGCAGGCTCAATTGGTGATATATACCGTCCTACAGAGCGAGGAGGAGCAATGGGCTGGTATCTGGCAGTAAGAAATGTTTCTTTCCAACATGTTGTCCATTTATCTGAGTCGCTTCAGGGCGTTCAATTCGGTCCCCCGCTTGCACCCTTAGTCGGAGGACTTATGACACAGTATGTCAGACTTGAGAGTTCATGTCGGTCTCACTGACATCATCAGATATGCTCCTGGCTCGCGAGGAAGCTGGAGGGCTCTCCAATATCTTCTCGTCGGAATGGGAGCGGCGACTTTCATTTTATGTGTTATTTTTCTTCCTGAAACGAGCCATTCTCGCGGAGTTGATAAAGCGCGAAAAGAAGGTCGAAAGGGAGTCTTTGGTAGCTCCTTCTTCGTCCTCAACCCACTGGTCCCGCTACGAATTCTCAAGGACAGGAATGCGTTGCTTATCGTGCGTGTCTTTGCTTTATCCAATGAATATCCACTGAGGTTCCAACAGACATTCACGTCGTCGTTCATACTTTTGGCCACTTATTGTAAGCCTTCACCGTTGAATCAGAAACTTTAACTCAAAGAAACAGCTCTGATTGTTCCGCTCTCTTATACAATGGTATGTGATCAAATCTCTTCGAGTCAATCAAAACTTACTATTTCACAGGGTCCCCGTTTCCGAATCAATAATGTGGCTATCCTTGGAACATTTTATCTAGCGCAAGGGGCTGGTAACATGGGTAATTGACTGTTTTTCACATCGACTTTTGATCTCAAGGCATGTTCCAGTTGGGTCCAAGGTCTCTGGTTACCTTTCCGATCGAGCAGTGCGCGCCGGAATGTCCCGCCGAAACGGAATCTTCATTTTCGAGGACCGTTTATATGCCTCCATCTGGGCTGGGCTTATCTTCACCCCACTAAGCATCCTTGGAGCCGGTTTAACGATACAATTCTGGACCAATTGGGCCGGTCTAGCTGTTTCTTTGCTCTTCCTTTTCATAAACGGGGTCTCGGTATGTTTCAATTTTCTGCCTCTTGTCATACCTTGACTATTGAGACCAGCTTATGTGCGTACTCGCGGTCTGTAACACTTACCTTGTCGATTGTTATCAATTGAGGTCGGTCGAGGCCATAGCCACGAACAAGTCGAGTTTCTCTTCTCTTCTTCTGTCGTTCCTGGAGCTGATGGACGCTCTCCATAGCTGTCTTCGGTATATTTTCTCCGCTGGGGCGTCTGCTGCGGTCCTTCCCTTGATCAAAGTAGCTGGAATCGCACCGACTAACGCTATAGCAGCTGTCTTCACCTGGGTCGGAGCCGGCTTTGTCCTTTTGGTGATTCAAAATGGCGCTCGTTGGAGAGGTATAATTGATTCAAAGGCGCCCACTATCGTCGACGAGGAAAACATAGATGAAAAGACAGGTAACGATTCAAACGAAATGCCATCTTATGAATAGAATAGAGATGTAATGTCATAGACGCCTAGGTATTGGCAAACCATATACACGAGATTCTAGAGCTCTGGCCATCTCATAGATTCAAGGGCGCTCCGAGAAATAAGGACCTCTTGTCCCCAATTGGTATCCCGCTCCGGGTAATTCGAAAACTCTCCGTTTGGTATCCCGGCCGCTGTACAGGAGAATAGAACTCAAATTTGAAGATGGCCCTGGTATTCAAGTCATGAAATACTCTTGTTCTCCGACGTATATGGCTCCCA